AAGACTAACGGAACTTTGGATTTGAATCTCAATTGCTAACAGGGCTTACCACTAGAGTTTAATTAATATCTTGTTCACCACAAATGTCACATTGAAAGTGACTTGTCACCACAGGGACCACAAAAAAATATAGGTGGTTCACTTTATAAACACATAGTAAGTAATGATGGTCAAGTAACGCCACTAATTGTAAGAGAGAATTTCTCCAATTTAGGAGTGGGGTGCTCTCATTTTAGCCTAAATAAATATTTTTACAATTTGATTTACACTCATAGGTAAAACAAGAGTAGAAGATTTATAATTGATCTTAAACTTAAGAGAAAGAGAGATTATATTCACACATTTTAAATTATTTTTTCCACACCTTTTTAATTTTTTAATATTTTTCTAACTAGTGTTAATGGTGTTTCAAAAAATATTAAAAAATTAAAAATATGTGAGAGAAGTTATTTGAAGTGTGTGAATATAATTTGTCAAGAAAAATTGATTTGAATTAGAAATCAAATATAAATGGTTGAACTGATCAAAATCGAATATTCGTGATATATCATTTAAGCGACACATCAATCTCATACTAAAAAACTGGTATTTAAAAAATAATCATTTTGATCAATTTTCTTAAACATAAACACGTATCGTCTATTATTAGGGGTGGGCATCGGTGGGGTTGGGCGGGGTTAAGTGTCAACCCGCAGGCTAATCTTACCGTGTCGGGTTACCGTTTAATGGAACCACCGCCGTCCGTACAACAAGGAAGACCGACCCACCCGACCCATTTATTTTCGGTTCGATTGGGCGGGTTTTGCGGTTGAAGATGAACTGGGACTGCCTACTGGTAGCTTAGAAGATATTGCCACCTCAAGTCGCCAACGCGATGATATTATGATAAGAAAGATGGTTATGGCCTGTGGGTTCAGTGGTGACAAAGTATCCATGGTTCGCTAAACTCTAAAAAGTGAAGGCAAAGATTATATAAGGAGAATATAGGAAGGAATCCTTCATAAGGCTAGTACTTAGAAGCTGGAGCAACGATCGGAGGAATCGTTGTGTCTTGGTGCGGCGGGCCAGCGGCAATTCCAGCAAGGGTAAAAGAGATAGTGGGCCATTACGATATGACGAGTAATGGTAGAGAAATTAAATTTGTAAATTAAATAATATGTCATCAATAGAAAAATGACACGTTTATCAATATTTAAGTAATAATCCACTCATTAATTTTCATATCATTTAGTTTACAAAATTTAGTTTCTTTAACGTTATTTGGGTTATTACTTATTGAATGGAAGATTATCATTTGTTAAAGCCAATTTGATCATGACACATGTAAAGAAAAAAATATGTTTCTGATGGCTAATGGACGGGTTGGGTTTTTAACGGGTTACAACTTTTGTGCACCAAACACTAATCTCTAGGTGGGTCGGCGGGCGGGTGGGTTATAACCCTCTAGTCAAAATTTAACCTTTTAAAACCGACCTAAGGCAGGCAGTCATAGGTCGGTCGGGTGGGTTGACCGGTTTCTTCAAATAAGTGCCCACCCCTATCCCTATCGTTTATCAAGTGAAAAATGTAATACACTAATTTTTCTGGAGCCGAAGTCTCATCTGCTGATTGCTGCGTGGATGCACCGTCCTGACTCCCACAATCCACACTCCACACTCCACGCACCATCAAACTTTGCTTCTTCTTTCTATATTCTTCCATATTGGAACGCTTGTTTGTATTTTTGTGCATTTTTAATCTTATTTGATGACACAAAACAATTGTTTACAGATTTCTCATATGTTGCAATCTTGCATCTTTGTCGTTCTGACTTTTATAATTGATAGAGATTTTTGCACCTGAATTATAAAATACAAAATGTTATTATTGTTAAAATATATGAATGCATATAGTAATCGAAAACAATAAGTACTTCAAACCAATGATGGATTAAAATTTTAATCTTGGGTCCTAGTGCAAAAGAAAATAGTTAACATGCGTAGAGCGTAAATGTTTTTTTAGTTGGGCATTTCACTGAGCACTGATAAGCATGTTGTCCTTTGCCAAGCTACGTTGCTCGTAGGATGACATAAGTAAAAAACTGATGAGTGCTATCAAGTGATCCTAGTGACTTTGGCCAAGACCCTTGCCGAATAATGTCGACACATTCTGTTGAGTGTTATCAAGATATGTCAAACATGCATTTCATCAAGCACTTGATGAGAACAAAAGAGCCGTACCAGACATTCAAAAGATCACAAGAGAACTATCACCAACTGTTTCTTTGACCTCTGGACGGTCCTTGTGGACCCACACCTGCTAACTAATATTAGTAAGGATAATACTTGCACTCTCTTATAGGGGAATGTACATATTTCACCTTTTATGAATAATGTCTGTTCATCATATACATTTTATAATCAGAACAATCCAATTTTTAATCCTCTTTAAAGATCATATGCATTAAAAAAAAAAAATTCAAATTGAAGATTGTTTATGCATTGAAATTAATGCAAGTATTACCTATTGATAATAATACTTGAGGAGTAAATCAACACATTATTCTAGTGGAAATGCACACAATAATTTACAGTGTTGAGCTAGGAATGTCATCTCTAGTTCCTCATTAATAAAATCATCTAACTCATCTGTACAAATGATATTACGTTTCTTTTAAGGCCACTGGGATTAGCTCAGTGGTGTGGGTAGTGGATGGGGATGGCTACAATTGAAAATTTGGTGTGTGTGACACAAATTGCCTTCCCACACAAAATGAGTTAACTGTGGAATAGTCGATATTTGGTGTGGACAATATGTCAATATCACACTTTGTTTCGTTCGGAATGGGGGTATATATTTTTAAGCGGGAAATGACAAACACATATTTTAGTCTTTTACGCTAATGTATTTGTTGTTTTCGTTTAATTTATTTAATCTGATGACGAAAAATAAAGAGGAATATGTGAGATGCAAAAAAAGTGTGTGACAATCACTTCCCTCAAACAAAACCATCACCACCACAAAATGGGGAGCATTTTTCTTCAAACGGACTTCAGTTCCACATGGTCACATACATAGCATCCTAATCTATTAATATGTCATGTAAAAGGAAAATTACCTACACATTGTATTATGAAACGAAAATGTCACAATAATGATAAACCGGTTCTATATAGTTCCTTCACAAAATAAGTAAACTGTGAGATAGTCGATTCTGCGGTCAAAGTGTCAATATCACAATCTTTGTTCCCGTGGGAATGGGTTTACCATTTTCTGGTGCGTGGGAACATCGATCTGTGATAGTGAGATATGGATTTACAGCTCGGCAAAATACATTGCAGATGATATTTATCCAAACAAAACAATTATTATAAATATGTGAGGAGGACAACGAATGGTTGCCAATTGGAATAGTAAGTGTCGAAATTCAAACCCCTCAAGAGTCAAAGTATATGTATATATTGGACTATAATCCTGTCGACACGTCGGTCCAACGATTTGGATTCCACAAGAAGATTTTCCACTAACCCATTTTTGGAAGGGAAGCATCTAGGTCAAGGGGGCAACAGATGATTGATTGATTCTGCAGGACATATGCATGAGTTGTCTTGTGTGTTCCGTTTTGTTGATTTTTTGGGATGTTGATTTTCAGTTTCACAACTATGTTGTCAATCGATATTTTGTTTATTTCAAAATTGTTAAAATAGGGTAGGTTGATGCGAGAGGTACGTCGGTGTTGCACATGAATACATCTCGTCTATCTCAGAGTTGGCCTTGGCATGGAGTTGTTGGATTTCCGGACAGGATCCTCAATCGAACGGCCTCGAAAAAAATGTGGCAAATTATGTGTATGGGCGAACTCATTCTTTTTCTCTTGATGTTCATATAATGTGAACGTTTGATCGAATCCAAAGCTTGGCTAGTCGGTTAGGCCTCTTCTTAATATATCTAGTGTTGTGTTTGAAACGCACACTTGTTATTTTGGCTTTTAGTTTGGGCGAGAAAACGGCTTTTTTTACAATTGAAAATGGCCATTAATTGTATTTACAACGTAATCCTTATAGTTTCTTTTTGTGATAGGACAATCCTAATACTGAATAATTTTGAGGTTATATCATAAAATTAATTGACAGTGCAGAGAATAGTCTAATTATTTGTAAATCCTTGCATGATTTAGTCAATCACTAATTTGGAAATTTGTCGTTCGCATTCGCACAAATACAATCAAGAGATTCAAACTTTATATTTTATTTGAAAATAAAATTAGACACAATAAAGACTATATTTTCATTAATTATGTGGTAATTCAACTTGAATACTCAATTTCTTCCCTATGCTTTCATATATTCATATAACTATTTTATCTACAAGTTATTCTATATAGTTTCATACAAAAATACATTATTCACTGAGCAGAAAAAATAAAATCCAAAAGTTAGTCGAAGAGACCATCAACTCAAAGTATGAGTTGCTAAAATCTAGGTACGATCCTAAGGTTCAGTCTTTCGCCTTTGCATATAGGTTTAAGGTTCCCTAGATAAAGTGTTTGGTTGGGTAAATTCCTAATCGGTAAGCTTTTGTAACTAAGTTTTCTCGAAGTCGAAAGAGTCGTTCGATATGATGCAAGGATAATTTGTGTAGTACAAGAAACTGGATTAATGGTTTATTCAACTTCCTGCTTCAGTGGTATCCCAGGTAAAATTTTGAGAAATGACGCCAGGGATATAGGTCTTCGAAACATACCATACTACTTCCTTTCACTACGCCACGTGCTAAAAGGCCTTCATAACTTTCTCAATACTAAATTCGCTCTTACATCATAAATTTAACTCGTGCTTCAAATCTAATATTTGTCAGTGGATGTGACCACAAGAATGACTGGTCGAGAATGTTCAGGTTACCTAACCGGGTAATATGGTTAACACAACTATGAGTCAAGGTTTGCTCCTAAATTTCCATGATTTTAATTTCTTCGGCTCAGGTAGTCACTGTTAATTAGTCTATCAATCGCACCGCTAATTAATGCATATATGATATTTTGATATTATTCATTATCCTGAAACTGTGAACCGGCGTTCTGGCACAAAGGTATCACTGCCAGATACTAGTACATGTGTATATTTTGGAAACTATACTTATTTTACAGAGAGAGGTTATATTACATTTTCGAAAAGGTTTTATAAAGCTTTATTTTTAGGCCCACTCACCCTTATTTTTCGCTCCTCCAACTTTAGTAGATGAGCTTTCGTGTCAACGAGGATTTCTGGCAAAACGTTGCTATGGGGATATTCCCGATGGTATAATTCCTCTTTTACCTTTACTGTACTTTAATTATGCTCTAACATTACGTGTGAAACAGGTTCATTCCCGCTCCCAAGCGCACTCTTACATTTAGGCACTTTTAGGTTTAAATTTACTCACATTTTCCACATCACTACACTTTATGGCTTCGTCACTTTCCTAATGTCAGCCATCACAGCTTGATTCGAAGTCCAGATGAACATTCCGGATCGGGGTGTGTCACATCCTCCTGAATCAAATGATATTAGTGGTGAGGATTAAATTTTACTTAGGCTTGATAATGATCACAAAATGATATTAAGATCACTGAATATAAGTGGGCCTTACCATAGTATGTGAGACTCACTTATATTAGAGATAGTTTTATAAATAAAATTAAAAAATTGTTAATAGATAAAACTAAAATGTGAATAGAAGAGTGATGAAAGTTAATATATACCTCTTATAAATCATGGATGCGATTATTTAGAACTACATATGGTTCAAGCTCTTTAGAACTATCACCATATTCCGCTTCATCTTGACCATCAAATGTCTCAAAACTCTGCATCATTTTCTCTACATGAATCATAATCTAAAGCATATAGATTAAGATATGTCTTATTCATAAACACGTACAAAGCAAACAAGCCTTGGGCCCATTTTATAGAAGAAGAGGAAAGATCTAGAATAACGTTTTTGAAAATATAGTGAGCATAAATATGTGTGTGGCATTGAGTTTTGATACAAAGTATCTGATTTTGTTTTATATGCCTGTTTGGCAATGATTCATCCTTATCTTTATATTAATGACTAGACATTGAAAGAAAAACTTTACAAATTAATCTCTACACGCATTCAATGTATGAAAATATAAGACAAATTAAAAATAATGAAACATGACTAATTTTTAATTAATATATACACCCTGGTACAAGTGAATAAAGGCCAAAGATTCTTCTCGGGACTACAGAAAATCAAGAGAAAAAACCCTAGTTGCCAACCCTTGCGTTTGGTGTTGTGTTCGGGCAATACTTCTTGATTTTTTTTTTTCGTCTTTGTTTCTAGTTGCAGTCATTCTCTCGCGATGTTGAGGAGAGTCCTTAGTTCGTGTTTATGGTCACTCTCTTGTTTTGTCGAGAGAGATTTTGTGGTTGTGTATGGCCGTGATTTGTTCAATCTCGAATTTTAGATCGGCGATTGTTGTTCAAATCTGAAGTGGTGGTGTTTATGATTTGTGCACCCAACAAATTACAATGAGAAGGAAACTCGACGTTTGCTGCAAGGGCTTATAGCAGGGTTTCTTTGCCAAACGATTGCAAAATCATCAGAGGTTGGTGTGGTCCTTTCCTTGTGGAGCCTCTATAATAGTTCTCAGGTTTGTAACGTTTTAGTCCTAGTGACTAGTTTTTAGGGTTTAGGACTAGGGGTTCTCCATGATTGAAGAATCGTGTTGTATTTTTGATGTGTTTGTAATTGTAGGGTTGTGATGCTTTTGACATGTGTAGTCTCTTGACTTGTTCTAAGAGACATGTTTAACATGTCTACCGTATGAATGGTTGTGACTATTTTTAATGGCATTGAATTGGTTCTATGGTAGCCCTCTTGCTGATTTTTGGTGTCTCTTTCACATAGATGGCCATTGGCTATGCCTCTGGTGTAGAATTTTTTGCAGATCTACACATATTGACAAAAATTTCTTTTTCAGATAGCTTTTAATTGTTTTCCTGATAGGTTTGTTCCAGCAGATTCTGCAACTGTTGGCTTGACTGATAGGTTTGATCTACATACCGACAGCTTTCTTACGTACAGTGTTATGCTTGCATGACATGGGTAAAGAAAAACAATGACCATAGTTTCTATTTCTATTTACAGAATATTTTGCGCAATGGGAAGCAAGTTTATGAGTGCCGAAAAGTCGACATTTATGATTGATTTGCATCAAGTAGGGATAATCGTAAGGTATACTCAAACAGCTTCCCTGTGCTAAATTGTAATTATAATGTGTGAGATAAAACTGAACTTGCATCTTTTTAGCAGTATAGGCATAACTCTCAGTGATCCAGTCATAAGATTTATCCCATTGGCATGTGTACGAGTATTTTTAAACGGCAGAGTACTTCTTAAGAATGAAAAATCATTCGCATTTCTGAGACTACTAACTAATATGAATCCTAAGGTTTGTATCTCAGGGTTCATGCTTAAAACATGTTCCTTAATCTTAACACATTTAATCTACATTAATTCTGTGTCATCTGACCACTAGGCATGTATCTATATCTTGCTAACTTGTTTTCTTGTGTGAGATAATTGCGTCAGTAGGCGATTATAATTCCCGGGTCTAAACAGTTTAATTGTCTTAGACTCAAAATATCAGATATAGCTTTGTGAAGTGTAGTCAGTATTAGCAACCTCTGATTCCAAGCTCATGCATGTGTTGATTTCTATGTTTCACTGCTGTTCAATGCAATTTTTCTATTTAATGCTTGTAGTTTCACTTTTCATTTCTTGCAGGCTAGTTCCTGGGCATGCACGTCTTATCTATGGTGAGTAGATCACATATATTTTGTGTGCAATTGTATGTACTATATATAAAAGTTATTTTATATATATATATATATATAGAGAGAGAGAGAGAGAGAGAGAGAGAGAGAGAGAGAGAGAGAGAGAGAGAGAGAGGATAAGTATATATGCTAATTTTTAATAAAGAACTTGCTTGGTTCAACTGCGTAAAAGATGATAAGTGCCTTACTGAAATACTGACCAGAAAATGTCTTAGCACCTGTATATACGTATATTAATGTACAAAGTTGGGAATGCCAACTTGGATATTGTTATTTACTTCCTGCAGGTCTGCATTGTGATCTACTTGCTGGTACTTTTCCAGAGCTTAAAACTTGTGTTCGCTATTTTCAGAAACAGGGGAAAAAGATCTTTTGGGTTTTCCTTGTGTCACCCACAAACATCCATGCCCGCTCATGCATATACACATGCACATTCATGAAATGAGCGTTTGGGTTCATATACATGTATTTCCTTCTCGTGAAAAAATCGTTACGCACTCTTGGTGGCTGCTATAATTTTCCAGTAGAACTAATTAATTGTACAGGTTGAATAGGTGTCCCAAGGAAGTTATTCAGAGAGCATCATTTATATTGGACGCTTTTGGAAACAATAAACCTGTTGCGCGATAGTGCAATGAAAATGTATCAGCTATGGATCAACAATACCAGGTTTTAATCCCAAAACAGAATCTGTGATTCAGAAATGTAAATATGACATATTATATAGAGTAACACTTCCCCTGCAAAACCAAAACCATGAGATTGAATGTAGCAATTCTATAGTACGCCGGAATAACATTTTTCAATCATATATTTCTGTTTAATTGTTTAAGTTTCTATATTTTTAGGGTTTTTATCACAAATGGTCCCTAAAATTGACCTTCATCATCAAGATGGTTCCTGAAATTGAAAATCCATCAATGTAGTTCCTGAAAATAAGTGTGGCAAATCAATGTGGTCATTCCATCGCAATTCTATTAAAAATTCTGTTAAGTACTGATATGACACATAAATGCGTCCCATAAGTCCTTTTTTCTCACAAATGATCATTGAAATTGACACGTGACATCAAAATGGTCCCTGAAATTGAAGATTGATCAATGTAGTCTTTTCATCACAATTTTGTTAAAAATTATATTATATGCTGATGTGACACATAAATAGATCACACAAGTCTAATTAAATTAAAAAAAATTACAAATAGGCTTAATAATTTAATAGTTAATAAAAAAATTGTCAACCCAAAAGGTATTCAGACCATTTTTTAATTAATTATTAAACCTACATTAGCATATAACAATTTTTTTTTTTTTTACATAATTGTGGTAGAAGGATTATATTGATTTGTGACACCTACTTTCAAGGACTACATTGATCAATTTTCTATTTCATGGATAATCCTGATGGTGCAGGTCAATTTTAGAGACCATATGGATGTTGTGAGTCAATTTCAGGGACCATTTGTGATACAAACTCGTAAATCTTGTAGGGTCCATTTATGTGCTACATCAGTACTTAACAGAATTTTTAACAGAATTGTGACTGAATGATTATATTGATTTGCGACACCTATTTTCAGGGACTACATTGATTGATTTTTAATTTTAAGGACCATCTTGATGGTGAGGGTTAATTTCAGAGACCATTTGTGATAAAAACTCATATCTTAATGATATGTATTTTCCTTAATCCAATTGTAGAATGTAGTGGACAAGATGCTGGCATTTGATTTTCGCAAAGGCGATATAGGCTTGTCTTTTTTTCAGGATTTATTTCTAACTGGAGCCGGATCTCTTCCACCAAGGCCACCGGATCAAGTGATCTGTGCCTTTAAAATTTCATTCAACGGCCAAAAAATATTGTAGCTTTTAAGGGGTCAAAACAGGTGGGCCATTTGATGAAATTTCAAAGGTTCACATCACTTGATCCGATGACCTTGGTGGAAGAGATCCTGAGATGATCTCTTCTCTTCCAACTGAGCCTTAAAACAATACTAAAGGTAAGTTTTTCTTCTTCTAATAAGATACAATTTTAAACGCTAAAGATATCACTTTATCTCCTTTCTTTTTTCTCTAGGAAACTTTATGCTTCTCATATAATTTTCCCAAGATTGTGAATGCAGAAAGATAAACAGCTGTTTCTGGACAATTTATGAGGACTGAAGCCTTCGATGGACGTCAACGATATCTTCGCGTCTCCGTCCAAGAGAAAGGTTGAATCATTAATTGGGCCAGATAATTCTTTTATGAGATACTTTGGATGCGATCCTTAGTCATCAATGGATCATTTTCCTGGCGATCCTAGGGATCCCGTGATCATAACCGTTCATCATACATCATATGGTCAAAGATCATTTCAAATTTTAAAATTTAAAATGAAATATAAATAATACCTAATGAAAACTGACTGCATGATGTATGATGAACGATCAAGATCACGAGATCCTTAGGATCCCCAGGAAAAGGATCCAGTCCCAATATTTTTTAACTGAAACCTTATTGATTTTTATATTTTGATCAAAGTCCTTTGACTTTGTACACATCATCATATTAGCATTGATATATTTTATATCAGTTAGTTTCTCTTTTAACTTAAAATTGTATTACACATATCTCACCATTTATGAAATTTAAAATCCCATAATTATCGGATTATAAATGGTAAAAATCTCAAGGATTATGAGACTAAACACAATGTACATAACAAACTATTGTGCACAAAGTTTTGCAAATTTTACTGTCTAGGGTGAAGCGAATGTACCCCGCAGTAAATTAATACTGCATGTCCCCATGAACTTGACAACAGCAAAAATGTACTCCTGCATGAACACAACACTGTATGTACCCAAATAAAAAGGGATAAGAAAAAAAAACTCATGGGTACATTTAAAACACAAGGAAAATAATGTACGTACCCATTAATTTTGGCTCAACAAAATATTAAAAAAATTCAAAGAGGGTACCCAAGGAAAAGAATATACACGTGTAAATATTGCCCTAATCAATGCTAAAACCTTTGTGTGTGTGTTTGCACCTTGAAAGAGAATGTACCCAACGAAAATAATGTACAAAAATTGTACAATTCACCAAGAAACACTCAACATCATTTGCACACTACCACCCAACTTAACACAATGTGCACCACAAGTGCACCGTTGAGACGTATGCATTAGGGAACACTATGCTCTGGGCTTGGAGGATCTATATGGGGAAATCGCAAGCGTAGGCAAAGATTTGAGGATGAGGCCATATACTAAAAGCAGTTGTGCCTACAATGGAGGTTGATTGACACTGCTAACCGTGAAGGTAATATAATTCATAAAAGTTTTTAAATTTCAAATGCCTAAAATTTAGGCCAACTAGGTCAACTTTTCCAAAACAATCCAACAAAATGATATGTGAAAATGAATAATAAAATTTTGAAAAGAAAAATCAATCAAAAAATGAAATGTGGACAAAGTCAAAGGACTTTGATCCAAAACTTAAAACCAATAAGGTTTCAATCAATACTATATAACAATTAGGGATGAGAATCTAATTTCTCATTTTTTATCGTTTTTTCTCCTACGTAACTCAAATTTTGATGTCATACTAAGCGCATGATGCTGGAATATGATCGTTTCCCTTGCATTTCAAAATCTATCAAGATGCTTTACTTCTTTTGTAATGGTACACATGTAAACTCATTCATTCACTCTTTACTGCACATGAACTTAGCCCAAGTATAACCTCCCAAGAAGGCCATATTCTATCTGAGATTCCGTCTTTCGTTTGGAGTTTGTGGCCCGAGCTTTTTATAGAGCAATTAACTCCTTCACAGTCATTGGGGATGAGTATTCTGAAGGGCCATCGAAAAGTTTATCCACTATGATGCCATGAGTTGCCTGTGTTGGATGGTAAAAATCCCAGAAGACATGGTCCCTTCTGTTGGAGCACAAGGATGCAACTGGAAGGCAAGGACCCTTGGCGTTAAGCTGCCCAATCCCACAGCAAGCAGTTTTAACCTCTGTAAATCCTGAAATCGAATACGAAATTTTGGTTTGTCAGTCGAGTTAACTGAAAATTCTTCCTCTAGTTTCTTACAAAGGCGGCAGAATATCAGTTGTCATGATCTGTATGTATTATAATTGACAATTTTACTACACAACATGCTAAACGGAATTGTTCTTAGATTATTTCTGCTTATGAAGAAGGAAAAGAATATATGAGTACCGTAAGAAGCTGCGTTTTGTACAATGTTAGTCAAGACACTGTAAGTGTCGAAGAGGGTGTAGCTTATGCCCAATGCCGGTTTCAATTGCTGCAACATGGACTTAAGGGCTTCATTGTACATGACAGACAATGAGTTTGCGCCATCATTGCACTCTTCAGTATTTGAATCCCTTTGCGACGGACAGCATCCAACCGGCCCAGTCCCAACAACTACAAATTTTTGGGCACCCAGAGCATGTATTCTCTGCCAAACAATGATGAAAGAAACACATTAAGCATTGAAGTGCAACTAAAGTTTCACTATGCTAACATGGAGCTAAGCCAATGTGTTCTTCTTACCTGTAATTGTTCCTTTAGATTCGACGCCATTAAATCCGCGTACTGATGAGGTGTGTATTCATTTTGGAGCTTGGATTTTTTAATGTAGTCGAAGATGTCATTGCTTCCAATCACAATAAGAAACAGAGATTTTGAAAGATGGTCTTTGGTGCCCTCGGATCCTAACTGTAACCCTATGTTTTGATGTACTTCTGAGTAGTAGTTTACTTGGTATGACAAAGGTATTGACTGACGCTGTGACGTAAAATAGGCAAAGCATTAGTTGTTGGACAAAGTTATTCGATTTCCCCTTCACCAGCTGTTACTTGATGGATGTCATATCTAAGGAGGAGATATATCTTTAGTGATACGTCAGATTTTAAGTTTACTTATTATAATTTGTAAAATAATAACGCCATGTGACATTGTTCTTGCTACTAAAAAATTTCTCTTTACAAGAAGGTTCTGCAGAATAACACCAAACATTACTTGTAAAAGCTTTATCACCGGCTTTTGTAATTAGGGTTACATGAATCCCACCCAGCTCATGTAAAAAACGAATTGGATTCAAAAAGCAATTTTAGTGGAACGGAATATATATTAACATGTGCTAAAGAAAGTGTGTTATTTTTCTTTTCCTTTTTGTGGGTATCTAGTGCTATATATTTTTCTTTTGAAAGAGTGTTGAAAACATTGCACTTACAAATTGTTCATCCGAGCCATTGAAGATTCCAGCTCCTCCGGAGGCGAAGCTAGCTCCATCGACAAAGGACACTTTTCGCCTGTTGGACTTGGATACAAGTGCCAGATATGGTGGCGACGGTGGTAACCCTACTTTCTCGGCTGCCAAACAAAAGAAAACAAGATTATATATACTACGTACCGTCTCATTCTCTCAACATGCATGGTTGTCACTAGTCATGATTTATTAACTGATGATATGTTAAACCTACCAAGAAAATCTGTAGAATTCTTGCCGTTACCAAACCTCCCCGTTGCTACTTTGTCAGGATAATCAACCCCATTATGAGGAAAATCTGCCTTGACTAGAGAAATTTTTAGGTAATTGTTGTTACCGACGTCCGCTAACGAGTCTCCGAACACGTAAATGGCCGGAACCATCTGACCTTCCGAGAGATCGACGATGAAACTAGTAGTGAAGAGAGAGAAGACGACGACAAAGGAAGCCATTGGCAAAACATCAGTGTGATGTTTAGCCATGGTTATGAATGAATCGTGTCTAAAAGCTCCCTCAAACTTAATTTGGCGTGTGATGTTTCTGTGTGATGGTTTGAGGGACATGAACAAGCGGATGTCCTCTTAAAGAGGGAGATAAGTTGATGAGTGTTCAAATTTCGTGTATGAAAACGATCGAGAGGTTTTAGCTGTGTGGGCTCGAGTAGTAGCAGTAGCACTCATCTAAAACCTCTTATTCTGACAGTAATATTGTCATTACGTTTAAATATTTTATAATTTGTTCTTCAACTCTTGCTTGTCTCTTCTCAAAATATCAATATTTTGTCATTGGAATTTACTTTTTTCATTTTTGTAAGTATTTTTTGATTAACTACTTTTTTTAATCATTTAATTGTTAAGAGTTATCCCGATATCAATTTCATTAATCACCATCCCATCATCTTCATAAACAAACATGAGATTCCACCATAAATCAATTGATAATATAGAAAGTAGTTCAACTTCTTATAAGCTCTTGCACTTCTTTCATTGATGTGAAATTCTTTTATCTTCACATCCTCACATACCCCCTCATGTGTGATGAATTTTCAAGTCAAATACATTGATAACACAAATTAGATGAAATGAAGCACATGTGGACTTTGGGCTTCACAAGTGGGCAAACATGTTCTGATACTATAAAGAAAGTTGAGGCTCCACCATAAATCTAACTGACAATATGGGGAGCAACCCAACCTTTTATAAGCCTTTGCAAGATTTATTCTTTTACAGATGTGGAACTCTTTTACCTTCATATCATCACACTTCGTCAATCACCATTGATCATGCTCATCATTCCTTAATTGTTCCTTTGGTTAATTACTAATTTCTCTGTTGATATATTTGTTTTGAGTATAACGATATATTTTGAGCAATGTTATTCATACCATATTTTTGTACCACATTTTGATACCATCTTAGGTGGCATCTGATGTGGACAGCCACATCATTTGAAAAATTTACAAAACCCAAGGAAAGGAAGAAGAAAGACTCATCGTATACCACAATCATCATTTAATTAACTAGTTTTTCTTAATTATTAGTTTATTAAATAATGAACTAAATTTAAAAATTTGATTAATTCAAATGATGTGACTGCCTACATTAAATGCCATATAAAGTTGTATGAAAATATAGTACAAAAACATAGTATGAATAACATTACTCATATATTTTACATTAAGGGAAGGGGGGGTTCGGTAAAGCCACACAATGGACAATCTAATTTGGTATTGAATTCACCATCCACGAGATTCGAATCTAAAATCTCTTACTTACAAGTGAAAATGAATATCAACAATGCTAGTGGCATCTATTGATAGATTTGTTGATTTTGCTAGTTTACCTTTTTAAGTGACATTATCATTGCATAAATATTGGCCAATGATAAACATCAAATTTCACCATATTAGTCTCAACTATTTTTTTTAAACAACTATACATTTATAAGGGATGCGAAATAAATTAGTTACAAACTCATCATCCATAAGATATGAATCTTATTAAATTGTTCTTGCTTATAATTTAGCACCCTTAGAATTAACATTTATCACATCTTTTGTATATCTAATTGGTTTTTTGTTGCTAAAGTTACATTTTTCTCTTTCCCGTTTCAAAGAACAAAAGAAGGAAGGAAAAATCATAGAATATGAACACAAAAACGAAAAAGGATATAGAGAAGAAGAAAGAGACATCATGGGCTTAAGTGGGGCTCCATACGTGTTAAAGTAGGCCAGTGATCTAACATTGGAAATGCGTTGCAGACTTGCAGTGGCCACTTTGGAAAGTCAGTGTCTTAGTTTTTTAATTGAGATATATGTCGATTTGCTCTCTGATTTGTGTTGAACTGCTCATTTCTTTTTTAAATTTTAATTTTAATAGATTACCTCTAAATTTTTATAATTAGCCAATTCCCTCATGAAATTTAACTTTAGCCGATTACTTCTTAAAATTTAATAAATTGCCAACTCCCCCCTTAGCGTTTTGGATTTTAAAATTTTTCATCCATCCAATTTTCCATTCATTTTACCCCCATATAGTTGTCATATATTTTCCACGTGATCAAAATAGGTGGAAAATTGGATGAAAATTTCTAAAAGTCTAGCGTTGGGGAAAATTGGTATTTTCAGGAGATAATTGGCTAAAATTAAATTTCAATGGGGAAATTGACTAATTATAAAAATTTAGCAGGATAATTGGCTAAAATTAGAATTCATATGAGAAATTGAAAGCTGAGGCAAATCAACAAATATGCCCTTTTAATTTTACAATTTTAATCTCTTATGATGCCCATGTATATTCCCTCGCAACCATTTAACCACATGGAAAGAATTTTTTTTTTTTTTAATACGTCGTTTACTTTATAAACACATAGCAAGTAATGATAGGCCGAGTAACACCACTTGTTGTAAGAGAGGACCTCCTCCTGTCTAGAGGTGAGATGCTCTCATCTTAGCCTAAAATAAATATTTTACAATTTAATTTACGCTCACCGCTAAAACAAGAGTAGAAAAATTGTAATCGACCTTAAATTTAAGAGAAATTGATCAAAATGATAAAAAATTAAATATAAATAGTTGAACTAGTAAAATTCGAATATTCATGACATATCAATTAAATTTCAACTGCACACCAATCAAACATCAATCTCATATTAAAAATTAGAATTAGAAAAATAATCATTTTGATCAATTTCTTTAAACATAAACACGTATCATCTATTAATTGAAAAATGTCATACACTAATTTTTCTGATGCCGGAGTCTAATCTACTGATTGCTGCGTGGATGCTCCTTCCCGATCTCCCACACTCCAGGCACCGTCAAACTTTACTTTTTCTTCTTCTTTCTCTATTCTTCCATATTTGAACACTTGTTTGTATTTTGTGCATATTTTTTTTTTTTTGATGACCCAAAACAATTGTTTACAGATTTCTTATAAGTTGCAATCTTGCATGTTTGCTGTTCTGACTTTTATAATTCGTAGAGATACTTGCACTTGAATTATAAAATACCGAATGTTATTTATTATTAAAGTATATGAATGCATACAGTAATCGGAAACAATCATTACTTCAAATCAGTGACGAATTTGAAAATTTTAATCTCGGGGTTCTAGGGCAAAAGAAAATAGCTAGCACGCGTAGTGTGTAAATGGTTTTTAGTTTTTTTTAGTTTTTTTATTTATTTATTTTCATTTATGACTATTTCGTCGAGTACTTGATATGTATGTCGTTCTTTGCCAAGCTATGTTGCTCACATGCTGACATATATCGACATCTGATGAGTGCTATCAAGTAACCTTGGTGACTTTTGTTGAGAATCCCTACTGAATAATTGTCGACAGGTTTTGCCATGAATTTCATCAAATACTTGATGGGAACAAAAGAGTATTCTACCAGACACTCGAAAGGTCACTAGAGAACCTCACCAACTATTTCTCTGAGACCTACTCTTGCTTCAAACTAATATTAGTAAGAGGTCTCTGTGGACCCGCTCTTGCTTCAAACTAATATTAGTAAGGATAATACTTGCATTCTCTTATAGGGGAATATACATATCTCACCCTTTATAAATAACATATGTTCATCATGTAAACTTTACAATCGGAACAATCCAATTTTTTAAGCCCCCTTGAAGATCATACGCATAAAAAATTATTCAAATTGATCTCGTTTATGGATCGAAATGTATCCAAGTATTAACCTATTGATAAAAATATTTGAGGAGCAAAACACATTCTTCCTAGTGGAAATTCAAAAAATAATTTACAGTATTGGTACCAAATTAATAAAATCATATAAATCATATGTGCAAATGATATTACGTTTCTTTGAAAGCCACTGGGATTAGCTCAGTGGTGTGGGTAGTGGATGGGGATGGGTACCATTGAAAAGTTGGTATGTGTGACACAAATTGCCTTCCCACACAATGAGTAAACAGTGGAATAGTCGATATTTGGTGGGGACAATATATATGTCAATATCACACATTGTTCCATTCGGAATGGGGGTGTATATTTTTAAGCGGGAAATGATAAAGCACATATTTAAGTCTTTTGTACAACTATTTTTGGTTTTTATTTATTTATTTATTTATTTAATTTATTCAATTTGATGATTAAAAATAAAGGGGATATATGAAAACTAAAACAAATGTGGGAAATTCACCTCCCTCAAACAAAACCTTCACAACCACAAAATGATGTTCATTTTTCTTTAAACGGATTTCATCTCCACATGGTCACATAACATCTTAGCCTATTAATATGTCGTGTAAGAGGAAAATTACCTACAACATTGTATTATGATCACAACAACTATGGACCCATTCTATATAATTCATTCACAAAATAAGTAAACTATGAGATGTCGATTGTGCGGCCAATGTGTCAATACCACAATCTTTGTTCCGGTGCGAATGGGTTTTACCATTTTCTGGTGCGTTGGGAACATCGATCTGTGATAGTGAGATATGGATTTACAGCTCGGCAAAATACATTGCAGATGATATTTATTCAAACAAAACAATTATTGTAAGGATAATGCTTGGAGGACAATGAATGGTTGATTACCAATTGGAATCTAAGTGTCCAAATTCAAACCTCTGGAGTCAAAACATATGTACACGTTGGACTATAGTCCTATCGACAAGTCGGTCCAATAATTTGGACTCCATAAGAAGATGAGGCCACTAACTCATTTTTGCAAGGGAAGCATCTAGCTAGGTCTAGGGAAGCCACGGATGCCCTTGTGTGTTCCATTTTGTTGATTTTTTGGATGTTGATTTTCACAACTATGCTGTTCCTCAACCGACATTTTATAAGAAAAGCTTATTACACTGTTGAGAGAGTTCAAGGTGTTGAACGACGCAGTGGGTTGGAAAAGACCCTAACCACTATGGACATTCACCATTTGCTTTGTCAATCAACATTTTGTTTATTTTAAATATGTCAAAATAGAGTAAGCTGATACAATAAGTTTTTCGGTGTTGCACATGAATACATTTCGTCTATCATCCCAGAGTTGGACCTGGCATTGAGTAGTTGGATTTCCAGACAGGATCCTGAACTCCAATGTCCTCGAAAAAATGTGGTAAATTATGTGAATACGAGAACTCATTCTTTTTCTCTTGATGTTCATATAATGTGGACATTTGGTCGAATCCAAAGTTCGGCTTGATGGTTAGGCCTCTTCTTAATATA